GACCTTTTATCAATATCTCCATCAAAACTCTTGTACTTTTCCTTCTTTTCCGGAAACGCATTCAATGCAAACTAAAAAATAAAAGTGAATCAAATAAAAGGGAAAGAAACGTTTCTTAGTAGTATCCAAATACTAAGTCTAAAATTAAAGTTTGAAAATCGAAATCTAAATATGTTAAATTACTAAATTATTAAGTACTAAATTTGATATATTTAAGTGTATATTACGTTAAGTGATAAGTTAATAATTTATCACTTAGTTTTAAAAGTAAATTTTATGAGTAAATTTTATATACACTGACAGTATATACACCATCATCGTTAAATTCATGATTTTTATATAAAAATTAAATTTTAAATTTAAATTTTACATAATTGTCATTCATCCAACGTTGACTGTGTATACATTGTCAGTGTAGGAAAGATTAATCCTAAATAAAATTTAGTGTCATTTAATTAATTCAAACGTTCTATTTTTTTTTATTCAACGTATCTGAACATGTTAAAATTTTAACCCATTAAATTTATACACTGAGTTGGAAGCGAAAAGAAAATGAGACATCTACATTGGCCAAGATATTTCAAAACTCAATGCAACCAGAAAAGGTGGACAAAATTAGGAAACCTTAATTTTCTCCTTTTCAGCTGTGAATTCTTTGCTGCTAACATTTCCATCCCCTGCTACCGAAAAATAAGCTTCTGGGCTGCTAGTTTGGATCCCGTATTTTCTGCAAAACGGAAGCCAAAAACGTGCAAAATTCCAAGCTTCCCTCATGGCACCAAGAGTCACAGGTGACCCTCCATCATCTGAAAGATAAACATGGAGCTTATTTGCTGGATAATCCAGAGCCATTGCTGAGATGACAGTATTCATCACTTGCACGCTGGGCTCTCTAGTTGGATCCGCTGTGCATATAAACACGTCGATAGCCGGAAGCTTATCATCCTCCGGCAATCTTTCCGGGAAGACAGTTCGATAAACCGGCCTCCATAAATACGCTTGATTGAGCAGCCAAATGAAAGACAGTATCAGCTCAGAAGCAAAGACTAAAACATAAAATAGTACAAATGGCATCGATTTATTGCCAGTTTTTGTTATTTCCAGGAGGGTTGAAGTTCTGTAGAATATCAAGGCCAGTAAAGCAATGCTATGAAGAGAAGTGTACAACCGATTTATAACTAAAGAAGATTTCTTGACTTGACAGAGATTAAGAGGAAGAGAGTCCTCCATTGTTGTAGCATTGAAGTCCTCAGCTGTATGTACTGTGTATCTTGCTATTTCTGGATCTAGCCACAGAGATTCCACTGGATGAACGGTCTTTAGAAAGCCACGTTACCCTTTATAACGGGTCTAATAATGAAACTGGTTTGCTGCGGTAGGCTGAGACAAAAATTGATCACACTTTTTTAGGAAAATGGTTTTTCAGAAGATCTTTGTAGTTACATGGAGGCCAAAATCAAATTACAAAGGGTTAATTTCACTTTGTCCCCTCAAACTTTGGACGATTATCCACTTAAATCTCTAAACTTCAAAATGGGACACTTAAATCCCTAAACTTATAAATACCTCCCACTTAAGGAAAATTGTTAACAAATCCTGAATGCCGTTGGTGGTCGAAGTGTCCCATTTTATAAGGGTTTAGGGATTTAAGTGTCCCATTTTATAAGTTCAGGGACTTAAGTGGGAGGTATTTATAAGTTTAGGGACTTAAGTGTCCCATTTTGAAGTTTAGGGATTTAAGTGGATAATCGTCCAAAGTTTGGGGGGACAAAGTGGAATTAACCCAATTACAAATGTAGTAAGTTTTTACACCCCCAAAAACACTTTTTTTTTTTTTAAAGAAAAGCAGTACCTTTTTTATCTTTATGTAGTCATTTGTGTCGTATTATTTTATAGATTCAAAAGTACACTGGTGCTTTTTTTTTTCCTTTTTAAACTGAAGGATTGGGAAAGACCAAATGCACAGGGAGAATTTTTTTTATTTTTTGGTTAATCTACTTTTACTCCTACACTATTGGAGAGAGGGAGAGACTAAAGAGACTTATATGCGAGCTGGGAGGTGAGCCACCAAATCACATAAGTGCACTGCTACCCTCTCTAAATTGTTTTAAGAACAAGAAGCACTATGTTTCTTGTATTATTTCAAGAAGGAACAAAGATTCTTAAAGTACAATAAATTGATTTTATGAATTTGTTAAAAATGATTGTGTTTGGATAACATTTTTATCCTAAATAATATTTTATTTGCATTATAAACATAATTTTTAAATTTTTAATCATATTTTTATTTCACATACATCATAACTCAAAAATTACTACAGTAATTATTTTAAATAATATTCTAAATAATTTCCTATTCAAACAAATGTTCACTTCAGCTTTGTCACTAACAAAAGTTCAAATTATGAGAAGGGTAAAAGAGTAAAAAAAATCTAATAGAAATAGTTTTAGAGCTAAAAAGATAGATTTAGCACAATACTTGAGAAACAAGGTAAATAACTTTCGCTCCGTTTAGATTAGCTGTTTTTGGGGATATTTTTGAAAAATTTTGCTGTAGCAGAGTTTTTAGATTATATTTTGGGATATTTTCAGAAAATATTTTGGGATATTTAAGAGTAGAAGAGTTTCTATAATATATTTTGAGATATTTTTTAAAATTTTAAAAAAATTTAAACTAATTTTTAGATTACCTTTTAGATTACCTTTTAGAGTACTTTTTAAAATTTTTTATTGTATTTGAAAAACTGATTTTTGAAAAACACTCCCATTTTTTTTCACCACTTGATGAGCATAAATAAATACCGAAGTGACGCGTCTGCACCCTGTTATTATTATACACTTGGTTTCATTTGTTACTTCTTAACCAACTCAACTAGCTCTGTTGGCCACTAGAAGAGCGACTAAGTTCCTTTTTGGTAGGGATGCAAACGAGTCGAGTCGAGATTTGATCTAATCGAGTCGAGTCTCAAGTTAATTTTATGAAACTCGAGCTCAAGCTCGAGCTCGAGTTTCGTAAAATTAACTTGAGTCGAGTTCGACGAATTCAAAATATCAAGCTCGAGCTCAAGCTCGATTCAAATTCGAGTCGAACTCGAACTTAAAAAAAATAATTATTATTTTATTTAAAAAAAATGAATAAAATAATAATTTTTAAATAAATAATAAAATATTAGAGATATATATATAATTTTACTATTAAAATAAAAAATAAAAAAAATATATAATTAAGCTCGTGAGCTGCTAGCGAGCTAACGAACTTGGTAGTTTTGAGCTCGAGTTCTTGCTGGAGTTCGACTTGATTAGCTCAAATTCGATTCGAGTTCGATATTAACCAAACTCAACTCGAGCTCGTATTCGAGTTGCTCGCGATCGGCTCGATTCGTTTGCAGCCTTACTCCCTAAGCACTAGGTTAGGGGCTGAACTCTCCTGATTGTATTTGCCCTCCAGAATTTTCTGAAGTATGGCCGAAGTTATTTAGCTTCCTTTAAATCTCTCAATAAATTAGATAGATCCACCCTCTCTCTTTTCCCCCAATACAAGATCAATTGTATCAATGCTCTTTTTCCAGATTATATAAAGTCCATCCCCTTTTCCAATATATGACCAATTGTAACAATGTTATACAAAAATGTTAAACCATTTGTATCAAAAAAGAAAAAAATTGGTACTTCTTAATCTTACAATGGTACCTCCCAAATGACAATGAGTTGTCCTTTGTGCCCTATCTAATTGATGCTTACTTCTTAGTCCGAGTCTATTTGAATTGAAGATTAATTGGAAAATCTTTTAATAGAAATATCGTAACACTTTCTATTGAATGTAATGTATGTGAAATAAAAAGATAATTAAGAAATATATTTACGATGTAATAAAAAATTTTGAAAAAAAAAATTCAATCCAAATAGACCCCAATCTTGGTCATCCTGGCTTCACGTTGAGCAGTGATTGTTCGACTCATTTGTTTCGCCTCTATGCTACGATGTCCCACGAGCTCGTGCCGTGGACCAACGTTAGGATGGCGGATATGCAAGTGCATGAGCGTGACAATAGACAAAAGTGACAAGGAGCTGTTGCACTCAACCTTATAACTGGGCTCCTCACGTGTCGGTGGAGTATGAAATGGTCAAGAAAAAAAGAACCAGGATGAGTAATTGGTATGTATCCGTACAATTTGCAGATTTTTCTTTTGTCACTTCCCAGAAGTATTTACCTCCTACTAAAGTACATGGTAACAATTTTATATTCGCGTGTTTATCTTAGATAATCACCTTGAATTTGGTAATAGCCCGAAAGTGTACTGAATTATTTTTCTTACTCTAAATCTCTTAGTATCCGGTGACTGCATTGGTTCTGATTGGGTTTTGAATTAATCAAGAATTGATTACTAACATACTCCTATTCTTTTCGGGAGTGACTCTCTCAATATTATTTTCTCCTTTCACAAAATTTGAACTTGAGACCTTGCTTAAGTAGTATCAAAGTCCTAATTGCCACTTGATAAGTTGATAAATTGGATAATGTATTAAAGGCAAGAAACTTGACATGTTGGAAGGAGGTTCAAATTGATTCACACAGTGGTAATAGAAAGCAAGATGATAATTAGGCATCTTTAGGAAGACCAATTACAACTGACCCCTAGTGTAAAATGTGCCACGTAATCAATAGTGAAAGACTCATGCTATGTAGTACTCCCTCCATTCCAATTATTTAGTCATGTTTGAGAAATTCAATTTTTTAAAAATAATGATTTGATTGTGATGTTTGTACTTCTCTTTCAATTTTATCTCCACAAATTTAAAATTTAAATTTAAATGGTAATATGCATATAATTAGAAAGAAAGATTATATTGGAAGGAGAGACTAAAAGGTACTTTGATTTTTTCAACATGACAAATGTTTTGGCACATCCCAAAATAGAAGGTATGATACTTTCAATGGGACGGATGGAGTAATAAGCAACTGGTTTCTCTTACTTACTATTTTGTAAATTCACTTAATAGAAGAAATTAAGCCGACATCTCTTATTTATTCCACAGGGTGAGTATGGTAGGTATTACATGCAGTTAAAAATTTTTCTGCTTCTTTCTCCCTTTCTTGGGTACAAGTCCTTCAAGAATGGGATAACTAAGAGCTAGAATATGGGACGAGAGAAGTAATTGTCCGAACATCTCTCCAGAATTTCCCTTCGAAATAACCCCTTTCACTCCAAAGATGAAGCAGACCACATTCAAGATGACTAGTAACGTCAGAGGAATCATGAAAAGTGTAGCGCCCTGGAAATCAAATTTGCCCTTCTCGTACTTCTCAAGCTTTTCTTGGTCGACGGCTTTGTTGGTCAACCTAAAACTGGCCTTTGCTACTCCTAGTTGTTTTAGCAATACATCCAGGCACCCAAAGAAGCAAGCTGTAACTGACTTGATCAAAAAAATTCTTTGTTCATTCCACCATGTTAAAATTGAGCCTCCAGTAGAAAGGACCTCGTATAAATGCTGAAGAAGAGAAGATGTATATACCACCGCGAAAGGTGCAAACCATTTGTTGGAGACCTGCGAAAAAATATATATATATTTCGTGAGAATGTGTCTACGGATGGAAACAAATATCATATCGAACCGAAAAGTTTGATGTATACCTCGGGGAACAAAGAAACTCCCTTTAGGAAATACAGCTGAGGAACGATGCCATACAAGATGCAGGCAATGGAGAAGAAGTGTGAAAATGTGAAGTAGGCATAGCACATGCTTTGGAGGATGGACATATTGGAGATTCCGTATGCTAAAGGGCTGTATTTTGATAATCCCACTTGAACCAATCCAGAAGCCCATTTCATGAGCTGAACCATGGCATCCTTCATGTCGATGGTGGTGCAGCCAAGAAATCCTGGCCTTTTTGGGTAAAGATAAACAGATTTCCATCCTTTGTTGTGCAAAAGGTAACCTGTAAAAGTACTCTCCAACAAACATTCGTACGAGTAGCCAATCTGTTAAACAATAACGCAAATTAATACATGATTCTAAATGCTGCATAAGTAAATAAAAGAACTCGATCAATTTGTGTGCGTGTGTGTATATATATATAACTCGTTAAAATGTTTATCATCTTTTCATTACTTGTACTAGTCTAGACATTAGCCTTCCTAATTATGTGATTATGGAAAAATTAAGTGGTGAAAGTTACATACTTGTTTTCCCCATTTCGTGTTTGCTTCAAATGTACAAGTGGCAAGGGATTTTGCCTCTTCCACGGTCGCATCGGATATGATTTCTTCCCTCCTGGACTGCCTTCCGTTCAAGCTCTTGAGTGAAGCATTGAAAACATTGGAGGAACCAAATTTTTGCTCCGGCTCAACATGCATCTCATCTGCCAATTTGAAAAAGTAATTTTTAGGTAGAATTATTTGCAGAAGAATTAAAGAAGCATATATATATATATATATAAATATGTGTGTGTAGATATATATGTGTATATATATATCATATGTATAGGGTTATGTGTGTACCCTCATGATTTGGACGACAATACAAGGCCTTTTTCTTCAAGTAGTAGCCTGTGCCGGCACATACTGATCCTCTTATTCCATCCATACCTTGATACTTAGTCTGAAAGTATAGGAGACTTCACATATTATAATCCCGACCATAAAACAGTCTTGGGAAAAAGACAAATAAGAGTACAAATGATTAGTTGAAGATTGTGTATATACCTTGTAAGCAGATCTCGCTTGACCATCATATATATCATTCTTGCTGACATTGTAGAAAATTTGAGGGAATTGCACGTAAGATAGAGAACTAGAAATCTCATGATCAAGATGGAAACACATCGCTTGTTTGGCCGAGAGGGGATCATTGCAATACATGTCGCAATCCAACACTAGAAGGTAAGGCGCATTGCTCATTATTCCAGAAACACGAAGCTGCAATATCATAATAAACTTTTGGTGTCAGAAAAAAAATTTCTTATTTATTTGGTTATAATCTTTTAAAATAAAAAGGAAACATATTGTGTGTGTGTGTGTGTTGTTTTAAGGAAAAAGATGGATTGTAAATGAATGTACAAGAGCATTGAGAGCTCCAGCTTTGAAACGATGAGGGCGTGTTGGCCTTTTCTCCCGAGACACATAAACAAGAAGTGGCATCTTACTTTCCTTGTCCAAAGTCCCATCGTCTATGTTATTATGGATCACCTGCATATGTGATTTCTCTTAGTTTCTTTTCTTTTTTTTTTTTATCTACTCTTTTTCTTGATAATTAAATTGACTTTTTATTTGATAATATCAGTAAAATGCTGGATTTCAGATAATGGATTAAAGAAAAGTTAAAACATTAGAGCATTAACGATTAACCTATTATATAAGCCAAAAAAAAAGAGAAGTATTGGTACCGTATGTACCTATCAACAAGAATACATGCATTTCATCAAATCTATATAGCTTTGTTCATTAGTTGATAGGGACTTGGGTTTTAGGCTTTTAGCATTTTGTCATATACATATGTTGTTATGTTACGTACCTCAACATGGGGAGGCCGGTCGTGCCTAGCTGAGTATTCTTCAATCGCACCTAATTTTTCGACATTTTTCTTGAATAAATCATATGCTGCCTGCAAAGAAAAACAAAACTTGAACATCAGCCGACTCCGTAAATTCCCATCAACATTCTATAATTACCAAAATTTGAGTTACAACTTATGTATACAGTTTTGCATTTCACTTCCCTCAAAAAATTAATCTACGGACCAAAACCATTAATTGATGTTTACACATAAAATGGATTAGATTTCTCTAACTAAAGGTTGTCCAGAGAAGACTAACACCATTAGGGCAAAAAAATAGTTTTCCCCACATTTAATCCATCCCTTTTTTTTTAGGGGACATGTTTCAAACTTTCCCATGCTTGATTAATTTGGATGAGAGAATCAATCATTAAGTAATTATTTGAATTTGATAAATGAGGTGGATGGTTGTAAAGCATACTATTCAATCGTTACAATTAATACGTAGTATAAAGAGAATCAGGCAAAAAGAAGATGATGCATGCTTTGTTTCAGAAACTTAAAACAACCAATTAAAGGCAGCCCGCATAAAACATTGAAGCACCAAAGAGCGGAAAGGAGGGAGCAGGAAACCATTCTTCACGCAATTTTTTCTAAAGTTGAATATAGAAATCAAATGATAATTTATTAGAAATTTTTTATAAGTCTCAAAAAAATTCATACCACCAGAAATAATAGAAGTAGGCACTCCAAAATAAATGTGAGCAATAATATTAGCACTCCAAAATAAACCTTAATTACTCCATCTTTTCTTTTACTTTAAGAGAATGAAAGAGTGCCTAAAACTTTTTTGGGAGAGTCAATATTTTTTTTTCTTGTTTCAAATTTTTTTTACGTTTATAACATTTTTAGGAACAAAACATTTTTAGATCCATTGATTGATATGTCTAAATGCAAAAACTTGAAGATTTTGGTACCTTAATTTTTTCTTCCTCTTCCTTCAACTCTTCGCTCCAATCTAAGTGTGCACCATCCCTTAACGATGAGAAATAGGCTTCGGGACTTCTGGTCTTGATACCATATTTTCTACAAAATGGAAGCCAAGACCTAGCAAAAGAACATGCCTCCTTCATAGCATACAATGTCAAGGCTGCACCGCCATCATCTGACAAATACACGGCCAGCTTTTCCGGTGGATAGTCTAATGCCATGGCGGACAACACCGTATTCATCACCTCCATCACTGGCTCCTTTGCAGGATCAGCCGTGCATATGAACACGTCCAATCCAGGCAACATCTTATCCTTCGGAAGATTCTCTAGGTTTACAGCTCGCGCCACTGGACGCCACCTGAAAGCTTGCGTTAGAACCCAAATGAAGGTGAAAAGGAGCTCGGCTGATGTCATTAAACCCCATGAAAAAATCGGTACATCACCATGGAATAGATGAGAAATTCTGTAGTAAAGAAGGGATAGTATGGCCGCGAAATGGAAGGACATGTGAAGTCTATTAATTGCTGCACGAGGCTGTTGAACGGTGCATGTATGGAGGGACTCCATGACCATGGCCGGTTACTCCTGATTTCTTTGTCCTTGTTATTTTTGAGTTTCAGAGTCCTAGCTAGCTCTCTTGTTTATATAGATGGAACCAAGATGTTAAAACTACAATAGTAAAGAACTAACGTTTTTTGTCTCAGCATAAAGACATGTAAATGTTCCAGTATTTGTTTTTTAACTCGTAGTAATGAATGATGGTTTTGGACAGGTAGGGTTAGCTTAAGCGCGATTGGTATGATTATAATACTTTTTACATATTCCTTTCTCGTTGAAAGTGTTACACTTTTCTTTTTAAACTATCCCAAATTTTTTGTCATGTTTGATTTTTTGATCTACTTTAAGTTTTGAAATCTCCTTGTATCCTTCGTTTATGATGTCATTAAGAATATGCAACTTGGTCCATAAAATGTTGAGCGGTCCTACAATCATTTCAGCAAATAAACTTGGCATATTGTTAGAGGGCATATATGGAATAAAAGCTTTTGCTTTTGAGTGGAGTCTAATGTGCATGAAAAATACAAACCCCAAAGTACGACAAAAATTATGTTACGGAGGCAGTAATTTGGTGTACGCTTGTATAAATTTTATTGTATTTCACGATGTACAATAAAAGTTATATATGTGTACATCAAATCATAAAATACAACAAAATTATTTAAGTGTATGTCAAAAATCATGAAAAGAAATACAACAATCACACCTATTGCACCTAAGGTTAATCCCCATTCCCATTCATGATTAAGCCTTAAATCGCTTTCGATTTAACTATTACGGTACTTTCACGGACTATTTGTTTGTAATCTGATGTCTTGAGAACCAGTTAAATTAACGAGAGGATAACGCGGTTGGCATAAACTAAGTTGATTAAGATTTTATTTAATGGAACTTATGTGTTTGATTACTACGTTGTTTGGAGATCACTAGATTGATGTTTAACGTTGTCCCCTTAATTTTCCTTGGTTTTATCTAAAGCCCAAATTCTGGTCCATTCTATTTCTTTGAAGTATTCTTCTGTTCCACAATTTAATGCGTTGGCTTGATTCAGTAGTATTTGAGTTAAGAGACACATATGAGTCTACTGGAAGAAGCGAATGAGAAATGAGGATGATAGTTGGGAATATTTTGCAGCAGTATCCTCTCTTGCTTTTTAAAGCAATTAAATGGAAGAAATAGTGAATATTCCGGGAAAAGTACAACAGGACAAAGGCCTATAAAGGTAAATAAATTAAAGCTTAACATAGACAATGGCTTGAGAAATTAATAGGTTGTTTGGGATACATTTTCTAGAAGAGATTTTAGGAAACTAATAACGTAAAACTTTTTGGAGTGTGACATATGTGAACGAAGAAGTTGATTAGAGGTGTTAAGTATGTATTTCCTAAGTACATAAAAAGAATTTTTCAAAAAATAACAATCCAAACTACCTATGAATCAGATTTAAGCCTATTATTGTAAAATTAATTGAAACGTATCATTTCAGTGTAGCAATTTTCGTATTCATCTTGAATACCCTAACTATAACCACCGTCCATTATCTATTTCCTATTTATCAAAATTGAAATTTTCAACGATTCTATCTATTATTCGTTATCTCATAAATAAAGTAGTCTAATTATTTATGAATTTTTCTATGAATTTCTGAATTCTAACTATATTTGATACTAATAAAGTTGACTCAAATTCAATAGAATTAAGTCTCTTAATATTAATATTGGTTAGATTGAAATAAAATAGCTTAGTATTGCTGTCTAGAGGAGTGTACAAGGCTTGTGGACTGGAATTTACTAGCAAGCTTCAAGTTACTAGTATTTACTGAAGTTTCATTTTAAGAATTAATGCGGGTATTGTCTTCTATTTTAGGACTAAGTAAGTCACAAATTAGCATTATAGAATCTGGAAAACCAGTAAAAAAAATATTTGGTGATGATATTTGTAGTCATTTTGAGGATGACAACCTAAGCATTATAGATCTTACAAGATGAAACCGTAATACCATTGTCCCCTTTTGGAAATATTGATAATTTTTTTGGTCCCAATACACCTTTTGGAAATATATTCATCTTATATAATCTTGAAGCATACACCCCCTTTTTTTTCCTCATTTTTTTTCTGGAAGCAGCCTATTAATTCACGTGAGCCCTTTTTCTTCCCCTCATCAGAATCAAACAATACAAAAGGTCTTCAAAAAACCACAAATGAAAGAAACAAAATCTCCATATAAGCTGCAATTGAACCTTAAGGACTAACTTCACTTCGTACCTCCAAACTCATGCTACTTTTTCATTTTGTACTCTAAATTCTCAATTTTGGATATTTTGCATCCTAAGCATTTAAATTTGTCTTATTTAACTCCAATCAATGACAACTTTGTCAAAATTAACAAGATAAGAGGGGGGGGATACAAAATAATGAAAATGCATTGCTTTGTTTTAGTTGCGATCCCTTAGATCCTTTAGACTACTTTCAGTATATTGTCATGATTTGTATGATCTCAATCATTAATAATGTTTGCAAATTTAATGAGATTAAAGACAGAACAAATTAATGATATTGGTTCCTTTTGACAACTTTTAGTAAATTATCATTGATTTGTGGACATCTATGTTGATAATTTTGCTAACGTCGTATTTGATTGAATTTAAATACGAAAAACTTGAGAGTTTAAAATGTAAAGTGTTCAAATTTAAAAGTTTATTAAAGTGTTCAAAATTAAAGTTTATGATGCAAAGTAAAAATATGATACAAGTTTAGAGGTGTAGAGTGGAGTTAGTCCAATCTTTAAAGCATTTGAGTTTTGAGTCAAGAAAATACTCAAGTACACTTAGTCAAATCACTATATTATTTTTGGGTTATTTATATGCCAAGCATGTTTCCCAGCCAATCAAAACTTTTGACTTGATTGAGTAACTTCTGTTAGGCATCCATCTTGTATTCGACAAGACGCATGTACTTAATAAATGAATTTAGAAAAGTTTTAGAGGCAGAAATGAAGCTTTGTAAAATGTTCTAGGACCAAAACCAACTCAATACAAGTTCTCCAGTTACGTTAGCACATTGCCATAATGTACCCAAAAATTATAATGTGCAACCTAAACGAACAAGAGATCCATTCTTCCAGACGGGCAACAAAATTACAACTCAATTGAGAATCTTAATTATTAAATTGACCACATTAACTAAAACTTGAGAAAGTACAATTTATCCTGCAAATGAAATCAACGCATTATGTTTGGAATATTTTTGAAACTTAATGGCATGTACTGATGAGTATTTACGTTGTGGATTGATTAGTCAAATATCTCTAGAAGGCGGTCACCTTCTGTTTATACCTAAAATTTGCATTAAAACCATTATTACCAATTATCTTATAGTAGCAGATAGGGCAAACCAGCTATTCACCTAAAGGTTCGTAGTCTTCTAGAAAGGCTGTACTTTGTTAAGAGTAACGTCAAGAACATCTCCTGCCAAATGGACTTTCATAATTTTATACAACTTACATCCACTAATTTTTTTTTGGAGTTCTTAATGCAACCATTTTGCAGACGACTAATGGTAGAAGATGCTTTTCAAGTCCATAGTGACAAATACTACATTCCATATGTAGGATGCATTACTTAAAAGTGCTTCTTATGTTGAACAATCAAAGTTGAATCCAACACGGCCAAACAAAATTGAAGTGGAAGTTGATTCGTGCCTCATCTCTCATGTTCACACTAGATTTTTATGATTCTTGGCTGACTACGTTCATTTTTTTGTTAAGTAGGGAAAATACAGAAACAAAACCCCAAAAAACTTCGCCATTACTTAGCTTAAGGGCCATGAATTATAGCTAGGTCTGCCCTCGTCTGGTTACTCTATCTGATTTTAGATTTTTGATTTTACATAATCAATCGGTTTCTTGTGATGCTTTTATCTACTTCTGCATCTCAATTTTAGATTTTTGTTCATAGCCAATAATCCAAAATATACCCAAAAGTAATTTTACAATCAGCTCTTTAAAAAAATATACAGCAAACAAGCCGCATTTAGTCCAGACTCCTGTAGAGACTTTTCTTTTTCGATGTCCTTAGTTTAGTTCATTTAGTATTCACCTCAGTAATTCAGTCCTTTATTCTCACTCTAAAGAAATGTAAGCCTTCTCGATAAACTAATATCCAGGTCTGTCAAAAACTCTAAAATAACCAAGTTATCTCAAAATATAGAACACCACAAACAATTGCATGTTGGTATATTATCTAGATCAAATCCGTTCAAGGAATATAACTCTTGCCTGCTTTTTCTCTATGCCAATACTTGTGGTATATTATCATAACCTGTGGTTTTGTAGGTAAGCATCTTGGGTACTTATCAGTTGCCAATCGATTCAATTTTCCAACTTCCCAATACATAAAATATGCTATAAAACTATGTGTCTATTAATTGTCCATTTGCCAAACTCCACAAGTTTCAGGTACAAATGTACACAAAGGAGCATCAATATGTATCTACACATACAACTTTGTTTTCTCCATCGTCTCGTCTCTAAGTTTCCACTTGATCAACGCACCTAGAATCACCAATTCTTGGACCTTTTTTGCCCCCCTCGATATGGGATAGGTGCTGTCCCTTTGATACGTAACATCAAACTAGGAGGTTTTGGATGTACTTTAGTATAACATTGGTCCTAAACATATATGGGATTGGTACCAAAGATGCTTGCTTGTAGGAGTATTAGTTTGACAGCGCTTGAGTTCGTTTTTAAGTATTAGAATCAGATTACTAACTTGACTATTCGTTTGGCATTATAGGAAATTCGATGGACTAATTCCCCTTATATTTTTTTTCTTTCATATAAACCTTGCTTAAACAAATTAAAATCGCATAGACACGCACGTATGATTATCATTATATACTGGGTCTCGAAATTTTGGTTTCTAACATTTAACTCTTTTTGTCTGACCATAGCATGTTTTTTTTCCTCTTTAATTTGTTTCGTCTTTGATGCATCTAGGCCCTAATCGAGGGTCGAAATTTCTCAAAAGTTTCTAGAATTATAGAGCATCATTATGCGATACAAGTGTTAATGCAGTTATTATTTCTTCCCGAAGAATGGAACTGAAATTGTGATGGAGTCAAAAGAGTCGTTTAGCTTAATATGTCTAGAGCAGTTGATCAATGACAAACATATTCTTTTTTCTTTTATTCATAAGAAACTGATTATTCTAACTATTAAAGTCGGCATCCTTGTTTACTAGATATGATAGTGCGTGCAATCAACAATAATGTTACTCCGTAATTATCACTACAATCTCCACATCAATGTGTACATCGTTAGTAATAAAATCTCTTATCTTTGTTTGAGTAATTTGTGCTGTATGATTTCCAGCAAATTCAATAATAAAATCTTCTTCGTAGAGCACCTGGATAGAGGGTAGAAATTCATCTACATAGATGACAAGGATTTTAGCTATATTTACATGGAAGTTTTCTAAAGGATTTCACATCATCACATGCAGACAGTTAACATACCAATGCTTCAATAAATATAAGCTGACTACACAAGGTAAACAGTAATCTCACACAAAAGTGAATAGTAAGACGGAAGAGAGACTCTTCATTTTCTGAACAGAGAATTATTTACAACCGACTACATAACTTTTTTACTTGTATGATCATTTTGAGGCCTAACTTCCTAGTTTAATCAAAGCCTGTGTAGTTGCAATTCATAAGGATTCTATTCTTATACATAATCTCAGCTTCTTGTAATCGTTACTGGACCTGCAGTTAAACAAGTACCACGGCACTTTTAAGATACTAATTACACCAACCAGAATGTAGAAAAAGATACTTTTTGCACTTTCACACAACTAACTCCAACCAGCAAAACGAAGAACCATCTTTTTCCCCCATGCTTTTACCGTTCTTTCTAAAAGGAGCATAGCAGGCTCCATTGCTGCAATAATTTTCATTTGGTACTTGCAAATTGAGGCAGGAGAGCGGCGGGAACCAACACCTGAAGGAAAGAGACTTGCAACTATGGTAAACATCTAGGATGTTGATATCATCTTCGATCGTCTTCAAATGAAGGCGCTGGGAGGTTTAGTACAAAGGTTTAAAAGCAGTAAGTGGAAGCATTAAACTCAGAAAACTAAAGCTGATAACAGGAGAGATTTGACAAGCTGATGTGAAGCACAAATAACAAGCCATCAACAGGGAAACTCTGGACGCACCATTTTGCTCACTAGGAAAGGACAACGAGAGTCTGCCAACATCCTTCACAATCCTCGCAAAGCATAGGGGATGGAAAAATTGAGTAAAAGATGTTAAGAGAATACAAGAATTCTTATAGATAATAAATTAGTAAGAGTATTTTTGTAATAGTTTGTTAGGTTTGTACTCCTACAAATATTAGTTGGTCACTCATAATACGGTGACTACATGTTTTTTTCCCAAAACACATATTCTCATGGTATCAGAGTTAAAGTCCTAGCGTTAGAGTTAAACATCTAGCAAAAGTCTTGTTCACGCGACACTGTTTATCGCGTACTGTTCAAGCAACACTATTCACACGGTACTGTTCATCATGAGTTTTGACTGTTTTTTGGTTTGAAGTGTTATTCACTATGGCTGAAAGTTTATCAAAAAGTATCGCGCCGTTTACTAATATTATGCCAATGGTGATGCCTTAAATCATAAATTGAACATTGAATGATACTAATTATCAACAGTGGTCAAAAACCGTTAAGATTTATCTAACAGGTTTAAGAAAACAACAATATCTCACAGATGACTCTCCTATGGAGGACAACAAAAGACTAATATGGATTCAAGAGGATGCCCAAATTCTTGGAGCAATATGAGATTCTATGGAGCCACGAATTACTTACATGTGTTTTATTGTGAGACAACAAAAGAAGTTTGGAATTATGTTCAGTTATTATACCGCAGTAATCTTTCACGAATGTATGAAATTTCTTTGGAGTATTTACAGTTGCAACAAGATAACAAGACAATAACTGAATACTTTGCTGATCTCAAACGAATTTCAGAAGAATTAAATGTTGTAATGTCTCTCTCAAATGATATTACAGTTATGCAGAGGCAAAGAGAACAAATGCTTATGCTCAAATTCTTGGCTGGCCTTAAATCAGAATTTTAACCAATCAAATCTCAAATTTTAGGAGGTGAACAATTATCATCCTTTGCAGAGGCGTATGCTCAGGTCTTACATTCTGCATCTAAAGACAATGCATAGGATGATGGTGCTCTAATTAATAACAAGTCTGTTTTAGTTGCTAATAACGATTGGATAGAACAACTTAGCCCTGGATGTGAGCAACTTAGTTTTGGACGTGGCTCTCATGGAGGAAGAAGTAGAGGAGGTCGTGGGGGTCGTGGAGATCGAGGCACCCGTGAGTGCATTCATTGTGGTTTGAAGAATCACACTCGTGATACTTGTTGAGATTTAGTTGGAAAACCTCCTCAGTTTGCTAATGCAGTTACCACTAACCTGAATCAAGTTCTTCAGTAGAAGGGTCCCAGAAGACTTTTACCATATCCGAGAAAAATTATGTCAAATTTCTGCAGTACCAAACTGTAAATCACGCATCTTTTCCCTCTGTTTTTTTAGCAAAAAAAGGTAATGCTATGGCTTGTCTCTCCACATCCTCTAATTTTGACTCATGAATTATTGATTCCGGCGCTACTGATCATATGTCAGGTACCTCTAGAAATTTTTCTAATTTTCAAGAGTCTATCTCATTTTCTCATGTTACTTTAGCTGATGGATCTACAACTAAAGTTAAAGGACTAAGAACCATAGAAATTAACTCATCTTTTCCATTGTCTTCTATTCTTTACGTACCCAATTTGCCTTTTAATCTAACGTCCGTTAATAAGCTTACTAAATTTCTACAGTGTTCAGTTACTTTTTCTCCTGATTTTGTTGTCATTTAGGATTTGAAGACAAAGAGGACGATTGGTGGAGGGTATGAGCATAATGGTCTTTATTTTCTCAACTCCAATGATCCGATTGCGTGTCCTGCTACTATTTCTCCTCTTGAAATTCATTGTCGTTTGGGTCATCCGTCTCTACAAAATTTGAAGAAGTTGGTTCCAACCTTGAGTCAGTTGTCTTCATTTAAATGTGAGTCTTGTCAGTTAGGAAAGTATCATCGTGTTTCTTTTGTCAGTAGAGTCGATAAACGAATTTCTGAACCCTTTTTATTAGTTCATTCTGATGTTTAGGGTCCTAGTCGAGTCACTTCAAAATTAGATTTTAAATATTTTATAATCTTTACTGATGATTTTTTCAGAGTTATATGAATTTATTTAATGAAAGATCGTTCAGAACTATATTTTATTTTTTGTGCATTTGTTATAGAAATAAAAAATCAATTTGGTGTACCTATGCGTATACTTCGCAGTAATAATACGAAAGAATGTTTTTCCACTCCTATTGATACCTTTATTGTAACGCCCCCACTTCTCCCTAGGGCAAATCCAATGGTATCGACGGGACGCCTGCCTAACACTTGTCAGGACTCTGTGACGACTGAAAAATTCATTCATATTTTCTTAAAATTTCCTCTTATTTTGATTAAACTATTTTATAATATCTTTACTACTTATTTACTCCCTCAATAGTTGTAATGAATAAGAGATTTAAGAGTTTTACCCTTAATTTTATAGTTCGGGTACATTAGAGTTTTCGCGTGTTTTGGCCATGTGATCACTTGATGAGATGTGTGTACTAAATTTGGTGGTTAAAAGTGAGTTTCATATAAGAAAAAGTGTGTGATTAGAAGTGTTAATAATAAGTGAAAACACTAGTGCGCGCGAGTTAGGGAAAAACGGCTCGAACCGACGTGCACCGTTTGCTACCGATTGAGTGCACCACTTGAACACTACTTTATTACTTTAATATCCTTACTTTTATTTCAGTTAATTAACCCTAAAATATCCCTTAAACCAGCCACAGTCTTTGATCAAAGAAAAGAGAGAAAAGAAGAAAAATTTGAGATTCAATCCTAAGATGACACTTGGAAGTCATCCAACCAATTTTGACCCAACCCAAGTCCTATCTTCTTATCTTTCTTGGAGCTTCATTCCTTCCCCATTTCCTCCATGGTGGCCGAGAGTTGAAGGGAGAAAAGAGAGAAGAAACACCACACTTTCAATCTTGATTTTTGGCTTTGTTTGAGTTGAATTCAAAATCTAAACCGATTAAACTCTCACTTGGGAACTTAGGAAGTTTTGTGTGGTAAAGTTTTGGAAGGAAAGGTTCTGTTTTTTTCTTGCAAGCATCCTTGGTGAGGTATTATGATTTTCTTTTCTTGTACTTAATCTTGCTAAAGTTTGGTTAGAATATTATATTCTTGGCTTATGATGGTAAATTAGTTAGTTTTGAATAATATGGCGGAATGTTGAGCTAGGGTTGAGATTTTCAGTTGTGTTTATGGTTTGATGACCATGGATAAGGATTTGAGGTAGTGATTCAAGACATGAATGTTAATTTTTAGCATTGAATTATCAAATTTTCAACCTTAAGGATGAATCTACCCTGTTACTGACCTGTATGTTCGTCCATGCTAGAGGCCGAATCAGGCCTAAGTCAAAACATAAAAGTTGTAGGGAATGGAGTTAACTAGTTGCCTGCAAAATTTCATCTCAATCGGAGCACTGTAGCATACGAAATTACTAAAATATCCCTGACTGCCAAATGCCCTAATTCGCGGGCAGTTTTCTGTCTTCTCTGAAATTGCACATTTTGACCCTGAAAATGCACGAACTAGATGTCGATGCTTTCATAGGAAATGTAGTTCTTTGTCTTAGTTTCGAAACGCTTTAAAATTTACCCCAATCCGATAAGCGTAGATTCAGTTGTGACCGAAACGCCAAGAGACGTCAAACCGGCTGTTTAGCCATTTGTCTCTAAAACTTATTTCGGATCGCATTGTTAGACTTGTCTTATAATTGGATGATATTGAGCCTAGTTGAAGGGCTATTGTGTTAACATTGCTGATGTGTGACTTTGGACTGAATTGAGAAAAATAATGAAGCCATAAATGACTGAAAAATAGCTATATATAAAAGGGCATGCCGCCCAAATTTTCACTCGAGGGTTAGACATGCGTACTCGCGACTTGAGCGAAAATTTTAGAACGAATTGAACTTGAATTGTTTAGGGTATTCGAGTCTTCTTTCGTAGAGGTATATAAGTTAGAATTAACCGAAACTCGTACCCTTGAAAGAATGATAATAGCGACCAATAGGAATACATTTTCCTTGTCTTTTTGACTCAAATGCGAATTTCAAAGTTTTAATCGCTTTATTGCCAAAACTAAAACAAACGCGCAAACGTTTCTTTACCGTTTTTGCCACTTTGGCTATTTTAGTTTTTATTTCCATTGTGTTGGTTGTTTGACTGATAGTTGAGTATAATCTTCTATCACAGGCAGTGACGGCCCGGACGAACTCGGTGGACCCGTATAAATTATCTTGATTTGCGTGCTAGTTATTTTGGGTGAGTAATTGAATTTGTTTATGTAATAAATTATCAAAATGCTTTGTATATGTTAAATGAGTACTTAGGTAAGGGTGTGCTTTATCTCACTCGACTTAAGTCCATTTTCTGTTCTTGATTTATTATGTGAGAATACATGCCTTGTGTTGAGTATCACCCCTTGTGCTGTGTGCTGTTGGGGTGATTACAAGAATTGAGTATTTTGATGAATACTTTGTTGAGAGATATTCTTTGTTGAAACATTGGATATCTCAGGGTTTGGTTCCAACCCGATTCCAAGGATAGACAGACTATTCGAGTCGGTCGGGGATTGGTCGAATCCAGTTCAATTCCCCGAGATTAACTACCTGTTGACACTCCGTCAATCAAAATACTCATAGTCGGTAGACTTCACTTACTTTCCCCGTTCACCTTATCAACCCCGCTGGCCAGTCAACAGCACACAGCAGCTCGAGCAAAAAACAAAATCACTTTGCTTTAACAAAGAACAAAATTTCAGGAAAATAACTATATACAAAGGGCATGCCGCCCAAATTTTCAGCAATTTATTACTTCATTGTTTTTCACAATTCAGCCCAAAGTCACACATCAGCAATGTTAACACAATAACTTTTCAACTAGGCTCAATATCATCCAATTACAAGACAAGTCTAAGAATGCGACTGGAAACAAGTTTTAAAGACAAATGGCTAAACAGCCGGTTTGACGTCTCTTGGCGTTTCTGTCACAACTGAAACTACGCTTATCG